TTTCCGTGTCAGTTCAATTTTTCTTAATTAGCAGGAAAACTAGTGACAGCACTGAATATTGCAACGATGATCCATATGAATTCATTTTATGGTGACTGGTAAAATATAAAACCAATCAAGACACAGAGGTCTTTGTGGTGAACTCAGGGAAAAATAACTTCCCAAAGGCATTGATGACTCTGAGATTGGAGTTGAAAAGTTTGAAAAATCAACCTCCCCTAAACTTAAAGAGTTCTAGACAGTATTTAGTTGATAATTATGTCAAAAGGGTACACGATGCTGTTTAAAGTTTAAAAATTTAGAAACCACTAAAGTGTTGATAGCTTTCCTTATGTGTTTTGCTTCATCAGCTCCCTGTGGCATGCAAATCATGTCCATGTGGCCACATTTTTATCAGCCGAAAACTGCATCAAGCTCAAGTCAAAAAGGAAGGTAAAAATGAATTTTATTTGTCTCCTAGTTCTCAATGTTTAATTTATCTCCTATTTTTTTTTTAACTCTTTCACCTAAAGAAGTAACCAATACATAATTTCTCCTTGTACTATCATCATTTGATCAAACACCCAACTCTCAGAGCAGAATTTATAGGAAAGGTATGACAGACAGTAAGGAGAATTTTGTTTTGGGAATTAAAGGATCAATTAAGATAAAGGTTTCTTTGAAAACATTAAATGTATTTTGGTTTTACAGGAGAGAATGTGAATGTTCTAGAACGTGACAAAAGGCTCCGTCCTGAGAGGCCTAAGAAAGAAAATCCAGATTTTGATTATGAATTCCCTGAAAATCTTGTTTGGGTCAACAAAGACCAGATGCCTCTTCCTTTAACTCAGAAAGATACTGTCAGAATTGAGAAATTACAAGAGAAACAGATATCACAGATATCACAGGTATGAGACATAACTGTTTCCATCCTTAACTTCTGCATTGCCAATCAGTACAAGTTCATGTTTCACTTGATAAAAATCACATTTCTGTCTTGAATCTTTCCCTTTTGTTGTTTGCTATCTGGAAACATGAAAAAACATGGTTTTTTTTTTGGCAATGCAAGAACTGCTATTTTGGATGTGTTCATACTGTTTTGCATAAGAACTTTGGGGGTTATAAGTTGGTATGGTGGTCATTTTAGGTTGAACCTTGGCATAATCATTCTGCTGACTGCTCTTTGCCAAAGAATATTTTTATCTCGCAGAGCTCCTCACCACTCAAGAGCATAAATTTGGTAGTTTATCTGCATTGAAGTGTTATCACAGTCCAGGGGGTGTGGGTAGCAATGCTCTTTGTGTCACTTGATGGGAAAGAAAATTGGACAAGCTGTGGCAGGGGTGAGCCATACCATTGTGAGCTCAGAGGAACTTTTCTTCAGCATCATTACTTTAATGGGAATACTTTGTTGTATGTAGTGTTTGTCTAAGAACAAATTAAACATGCAATGAATTAAATATAATTGTGTTTTGGTTTGTAGCTTCCTCAAACTATTGATGGTGTGGTTCTTCCCAAAAAGAGAGGTCGGCCAAAAGGATCAAAGAACAAAGTTAAGACTGACTCTGTTACAGGGGAAGTTATTCATCCACAACCACAGGTAGATATTTTGTACTGACAGTAACTCTTGAAGGTTCATTTAATTCTCAACACCCTTGGATCAGTATCCATATTCTCCAATCTCTCCTCTGTACAGAGGTACTGAGAAAGAGAATTCATATTTGAAACAGTCAAGGCTTCTCAGGATAGTAATCATTTCCTGTATTCTTATGATCTGCTGAATGATTCAGCAGTGTAACTGTAAGGAAAAATGAGATGTTGTTTAAAAGGTGAAAGGGGATGAAAAGAAAGATAACTCCCAACTCAGGAATATTGTTTTATAAAACTTTAAATTCTCAGGGCTAAAATGATGTCCACAAATGGTTAGAAAAGCTACTTTTCTTGAATAAGGATTGTCAACTGTAGTTCACTTAGATTCTTCACAGTTATGATTACCCAGGGACATTAACCCTTTAACTTATTTTAACTCATATGAGTAACCAAGACAACATTTCTCCTTACAATATTAATACAATGTCAAGCAGACAAGTGATGAGAATAAATGAAATATGGACAAGGGATTATTAGTTGATGGAATACCACATTCTCCAAACTAACATCATGAGAATTGTATGTTAGACAGTTAGAGGAATTGGTGAATGGGTCGAAGAACCCAGGCGCAATATAGCAAAAATATAGGGCTGGTGCAAAACTTCTGGTGTTATATGGTGTAGCTTTGGGCTCAGATTGTGAAGGAACAGATAACAGCTGCTCAAGAGGCATGACTACATGGTGACATCTACTCTTGCTCTGTTTGACCCTCCAGCTTGAAAACCCTGGTGTGGAGTGGGTATCAGTCCATCTAACTGTTGTGTGCTTGGTTGCCAAGCCTTTGAACAGGAGTGAGGCTAAGGGTGACCTTGTTATGATACAAACATTTTTGTTTTTTCAAATGAAAATTACTTTGTTATCATGCTAACTAGATACTGGTCTCTATCACAACAAGGTCACCTTCAGCTTTGCTCTAGATCAAAGATGTGGCAACTAGGTACACAACTGTAAAATGACCTAGTGATATTACAGACTGATATAAATGTCTTATTGAACAAAACTCTTTCTCTTTGCAGCCAGTTCAGCTTGACGAAGATGGCATGCCAATAAAACGAAAGAGAGGTCGTCCAAAAGGCTCCAAAAATAAGCCAAAACCACAATCCCTTTTATCCCCAAACAAGTCAGTTAAGAATGGAAATGATGATGGTGAAGATCAGACATCTAGTGGATCTGATAACAAAGAACCTATGGACATCATGCCACAGATTTCTCGTGAAAAAGCTGAGATGTACTCCCTTATTTTGAGTGACATCAACCAAAAAATGATGTCACAGTCATGCATGAAGTATGTGTAATATAGAGATGGATGTTATGGTTGAAATGATTTCAATATCAAAATTATTTCAATTTAGGCGAGAGAGTAGGAGAAGTTATGAGTGCATGGAGAGCAAAGTAAATGATTTGGTATAATTCCCTCTTAATTGTCTAATGCACAATTTGGCTGCTAAATGCACATTATTGATTGTATCAGTAACAAATTTTGCAGAGAAAAGTTTGAAGAACCCTGTCATTAGTAACATTTTAGGATGTGGTTTCTTTGATTTCTTTTACTGATACCAGAAAAACAGGAAAAAAAACTTCTAACTCACAGGTAGTTGTATTTGATGATTGAATGTGTCATTATGCATTAATAACATGATATTCAGACATGCAGTTGACTAATGAAAGCCATTTATTCTAGATATGATTATGAGTATAACTTATAAATGAAAGATATTGCTTGTTCCAGATCAGTTAACTTAATCATAATCATCACTAAAGGGTAAAAGTGGAATATGTCAGTCAGTGAAAATGAAATCATTTTGACCACAAATTCATTTTGCAGTACAGCAGGCATGTGAAGTCCCACTACCAGCAGTATAGTATTTATTATTAAAATTAAATTTAGGTATGAAATAAGCTTACATTTGCACAGTTCAAGCTTATATGTATATAGTTTTTGCTTTACTAATGAGGCTAGATTCAAGTTCGAACTATAAATCAGTTGATGGACGAAGATGGTCTTGTGGACTGCAGATATGATCAACGATTCCTCATTTTTGTGAATCAAACTGATCCAAGATTGAAACAACTTCATAATTTTGTCAGTTTACAACAAAACAAAATGTGTGTTGGTAAATATTTAGTGGAGATTGTATATGAAGGCAGGTCCTTCACATTTTGCTTTGAAATCTTCCAACTGAACAATAGTAAGTACTTAACTGTAAGTCAAAGTTGCTATTGTCAATTAATTGCTTTTATTAATGATATAAATTGTGGTAATTTTTATGATCTTTGTATTTAGATACAATCAACAAATTAATGTATTTTCAAAACTATTAATAATAGTAAACTTTACAAGCATATTTTCCTTGCTACTGCATAATATAATTTTGTAACTTGTAAATAGCCACTTTACCAGGTTTGTAATACTTCATAGGCCTAATTGTAGGTTTTCTGATAAGAATGTTTGGAGGAAAGATAATGATTATTTTTGTCTTTTATGCTAGATTTCCTATTGTATATAAAAGTAATAAAAATTAGTTTTCTTGTCAGACATTGCTTGTTCCGGATCGGTTACTTTAATCATAACTAAAAGGTTAAAAATGGAAAGTGTCAGTCAATGAAGTTGAAATCATTTTGATCAAAAATTCATTTTGTAGTACATTAGGCAAGAAAAGATAACAATTATTTTTGTCTTTTAGGCTTATATTTCTTGTTATATATAAAAGTAGTAAAAATTAGTTTTGTTGTCCAAGGGTTATAGAAATGAAGCAGTAAATAGCTTGAGCCAGTCAGTGGCAGTTGTTGTCCATGTGTTGTGAACATGAAGGTCAAGGATATCCTGTAAAAGATTGTAAAGTGTGATGGTGATGATGACTGATGTTTCAAAATCCCAGACAAAAAGCCACTTGTAAGTAAAAGGCAAAATTGATTGAATGGATGGCAACTGTTCAGGTCATTGTTCAGGTCAATGTGGCTTCACACTGTGCTAAGGCAAGTGTGGTACAGTCTAGCTGTGAAATTTGGCTGTCTGAAGAGAATTAATTTTTTAAAGTTATGAATAATTATTGTACTCTCAATAGTGTTGCTATCCTTGGGTAGTGTTGTGTGATGCCCTCTCAAGAAGATTGGCTGGTTTAATTTTGGTTCAACACACTGACACAATGGGTCCCTTCTGGTACACTGCACTCATTAAATGCACAATAAGCTGGATGGCACTATTGGTTCCATCTTCTAACCACTCCCTATCCTCATTACTTCAGAGTCAACACCCTCTCCACTAATCCACTCAACCTGCAGGCATGCATCATTTTGCTATTCATTACTTTCAAAATTTCTGATGTAATCTGTGTGCCTCATGTGGTTGCAATGTGAACAGAAACACTCCATGAAGCAAACTGCTGTTTAATTTCCTCACCTATTTAAAAAGAGGTAAAAATTATGGGGAAGCATGCTGTTTACTTCTTACGCGAAAGCTGTTGTGTCATGGAAACCTCACAAAATAAGCTGATAGTTATGGTCATTCATGTTGTGCCAAAAAAAAATCACTGATACAAAATATACTTTTATAGAGAACAACTACACGAATTGCAAGCAGGGTCACTGCCACCTCTCTTACAAGGAGGGGGTCTCAAAAGCTGATTGAAGTTTTAAAGGAAAGTATTGAGCCATTTCATGTCAAGACAGGTGGAGGTGTTCAAAAGAAACACCTATTACTGTGAGGGGAACAAATATTTGTTCCCAAATCTCATTTGTAATTCTCTCTACTGTCTGCCATACAATTATTAGTTAGGTCAGTTTGGAGAATTTGGTATTGAAACAATTAATAATCCCCTAATTGACACTTTTTTCAATTCTCATCACTTGTCTGCCTGCTATTACATTGATGTTGTAAAGGGAAAATTCTGTCTTGGTCACTTATGGGAGTTGAAGGTTACCCAAGAGTTAAGCAACCAAGTGAAAAGAAATTTGATTTAACAAACATCTAAAGATGCACTGAACCTTGTCTCTTGAATTTCACTGCATTGATCTGATGTACATCTGGTGAATAACTTTTTAATTCATAAATATAATAAATTAAACTAATGCTTTAATCTTAATTGTAATGCACACACAATAAATATTTCAAGTGTTCGATGTTGATGGTAACAAAATGTGCTTGCAACACATAATAGTTTATGAGGTATCAATGTTTCTTATCACACCGTGGCCAGATGGTAGATCATGGCATTTCAACTGAACAATGATAACTGTCATGTGCGATAAGTTACCAGTATGCTGATGAAATGTTGGGATCTACTGTTTGTCATAGCTGACCTCACTGTGACACAAACACTAATTGGAAACTTTGAGAATAATTTTCTCTCACCACAATGGAAAACCTCAACCTTATTAATTTCAACTTTATATTTACAATAACACTACAAAAAAAAGTTATGTTTGATTTGGTACTTTTAGTCTTGACAAGTACTTGTACTATCGATCTTGAGATCTTTGGACACTTCAAAATTGCAATTCTCAAGTAAAAAAAGGTCACCCACGCTAGTTACAGGCCATTTCAGTGATCTTCATACCCTCATTTTCAAAATAAAGCCAAGAGTAGAACTTAGTCTTATGAAAATGAGTTTTCTTTGCTTGAAATAAAATTCATTCTCAGATCGAAGGCAATGTAATTGGCTTCCTTTTAATGATACACTTTAGACATCTTGAAAGTGGCTTATTTTGCAGGTTAATGTTTCCACATAAACCAGAAAAGTCAAGTATTCTACATAACATTCCCATTCAGATCCAAGAAATAACATATCATAAATTATATTACAAAATTTAGTAATCCTAGTAACTCAATCCCACTGAGTTATAAGGCAGAGTTGGAATCTCTGTATTTTTGCATAAACTCTTGATGGAAGACTTTAAAACGTTCAAACAGAGGCTTGAGTGCTTCAATGGGAGGCAAGATTGTCAGCCTGAAAAACAACCAGAGGAAAAAAACCTTTGAATTCACATAAAGTTATTGTATTTTTGGTGTTAAAGTGTGAGATAAAATGTAGAAGCTTTTTAATCTTTAAAAATCTTGCAGAATGTCCTAATGTCTTGCACCACCCTACCTGAAATGGAATGTTCCATCTCTTTGTCCAAAACCATTTCCTGGGACAACACACAGTCCTGTTTTCTCCAACAACTCCAGAGCATAAAAACTGTCAGGATGCATACCTCTGGACTAAACAAAAGGAGGAAAAATTATGAGCAAATCAACATTTACTTCTTAAACCCAAAGAGCTTCAAGTATCTTATTCCTCTTGACAGTATCACTGCTGAATCCATCACTAAGCTCACAAGAATAGTGGAAATGATTGCCAACTAAAAAAGGAATTAGTTGTTAAAAATAATTTACTTTGTCAGTTCCATAAGAAATGTGTAAAGAACAGTGCAGAGATTAGGTAATATTGGAGTTTTATGGGTTAATAAAGGGAAGGTAAAAACACTGTAATGTTTCTCCTATTGTAGTGTGATTCAGGGTGAGGGTAATTCTGAAAAGGACCATTTTTGGAGACTGTCACAAGAATGTTATGACCACCTGATCTGAGGACTTCATCAAAGTAAAAAATTCATCATCAGGAATCAAGGTCACAGCCGATGTTTGGATTTGTCAAACAACATGCTCACTCTGAAGAGTGCACTGCAAAGGAGACCACAGAATTCTTATTTTGAGAACAAGATCATCTAATGTTCATATCAAATAATTGTCATTTACCTTTGCCTCTTCTTGTGCCCTCTTAGGGATTGACACATTAGGGAAGGCATACATGGCACCCATAACTTCATTACATTTAATACCCTCCATTGAGTTGAACGTCTCGGCAACCAGTTTAGCCCTGTCTTTAAATGACTGAAGTACTGCTTTTTTCTCCTAGCAATTAAAATTATATGAGTTAGACACAGGTGTATCTGTGAAAATTTAATGGCAACTAACTGACTGTTGAAATATTCTCTTGGTTAACTAGTGCTTATTTGATTACACAAGGCCAGAACCTGGTAACAACAATTACTTTGTCCTAGCCATACTACTTTCAAAGGAACTTGTGTTTACAAGAGCAACACACACAGCCACATTCCTTGTCAGATGAAAGTTCAGCTGCAGTTCTTTATGCCATATCTATTTTTCAGGGAAATAAATTTACTTGAAGAATACTTATATCAATCTTTTTAGACTAGTGAGGCCCAAAAGTTGCATAGAATTATTTTGCTTACATATCTACTGTCATTTTAACAAATGATTCTTATTCCATGAAATCATCTGAACATTTTTCACTGCATAGCCAATATCTTTAGACAAAATCTCTGCCAAAAGCCACACAACACTGTCCCTAAAGCAATTGCTGTCCCTTACCTCAATGAATGTGTTATATGATATGTCACCAGGTTGAGGCGGACTAACTAAGCAGTCCATCATTGCCTGAGCAAAAAGGATCAAAATTACAAAAAAGTAGCTTAGGAAAACTTGTTTCAATAACTGCCGAAGAGTGAACAAAATAAACTAAAAAAATAAATAAATAAACAGTAATCATTCACCAACTTCGACTGAAAGGAGAGGAAATGGCTCACCTGTCCTGTGATACAAGCACAAAGTTTTGCTGACATCATCTTTTTCAACTGAAATCTGACTTCATCATCCATTCCTGTAATTTCCATATAACCTCCTCTAAAGCCACATCTAACAGAACACAAAGGACAGTATGCAATAAGTCATCAGCTCACTTGCTCACTCCAAATGAGAAGCTAGTTCAGCATAAATCACTTAGTCATACATGTACCCTTGGACAGAGTATCAAACAAATTTGGTCAAAACTCAAACCCAGACCTCTTGGATTCCAGAATTCCAACAACAAGGCCATTGTCTAACACAATACAACAATATAACCAAGTTCCTAACCCAGATTTTGTATACTTATATTCTTGTCATACTTATACTTTATCTGTACAATTTTACTATTTCTTTTGAATCAGTAAAACTCCAATATTAGTGATAAATTTAAATCCAAATTCATGATAACTTTAATCAATTAAAAGTATTCTTCATTACTATCTTACAGGCAGTAAGAAATATGGCTGGGCAAGAGTACCATTCACTAATTAAAATCATTTTTAAGAATTAGAGCCATTGACTTACTCTCCAAGGAATCCTTTGGATGTTGAATGGAATGAAATCAGTTCAAAGTCCTCATAATCTGGGCCCAAGTCTCTAAGGACCTTTTTGAAGGAGTGGAATTTGGCACCTTCTCCATAAATATTTGCTTGGTAGACCTAAGGAAAGAAAATTCAAGATGACATGATGACGGCACTCAAAAGAGCATTGACAACAGTAGCCAACTCAACAACCCAACACTCAAGAAAAATTGTGTAACTATAGTTTCTGTGCCTAGTTAAAAAAAAATTTGCTCTTTTTTTTTTGGAACATTGTATCTGTAGTGTGAGAGTCATGAGATGATCAGTTTTAACTGATAACTGTCAAATGTTACCTGCATTGAATAAAGATTTACTTCAATCAACTACTACAACAGGTTATGCACAATTGAAAGCAAGCCAGCTCAAATTATTAAGAAACTTTAAAGAGACAAGTTTTTAGAGCACACCTACCTCATCTGCGAGTAAAACAAGTTTCTCATCTTTACAGAATTTAATGATGTCTTTGATGTTGTCATAAGAAAGAACTTGCCCTGAGGATGAAAAAGTTGATCCACTTAGTTTGCAGATTGGGAAAAGATACAAGCCAGAGTGTTGAGGTTTACAGCAGGAGTTTTCAAGACCAATGCCACCAAAGGTGACTTATCACATGGAGGGGAAGGTGGTGAGCCAGCTCTATCATTTGGCACTGGTAAATTTCCTGAGGCACTTATTCAAACTAACTTTAACTCGAAGATACTGTTCAGCCCTTCAACACTTTTCTTAACCTTTTAAAACCCTGAGAGTGACTGCTGTTAGCTTCTAATTTCTCCTTACAGTAAAACTGCTGAATCATTCATTAGACCTTGAAAATAAACAAAATGATCACCAACCTAAGAATTAAGCTTTAACTGTTATACAAATTTTTCTTGATCTTAACAACTTAGCTATTATCATTACTTTCATTTTCGTCATCATTTTTAAAAAGGTTCTAATACCTGTTGGATTACCAGGATTTATGACACACAAAGCACGTGGTATACAATTAGGTCTGGCCTCATTTAAAGCCCTTTTCATGTCTTCAGTGTCTAGTGCCCATCCATTGGCTTCATCAAGGTAATAGTTGATCTGTAAAGAAAAAATTCAATAATAAAACATCAATGCTGTGTGTAAGTATGTGAAATTCATTTTAACCAATCTAAAATTGAGGAATAAACCAACAGAATCAAACAGTACAGTCACAAGAATAAAGGAAATGGTGGACAACTTATAATTGCAGCTCTTGCACATTAAACCAATTCTCCTCATCAGCACTTTAGGAAATGTAACTAGAACTGTATGGAGAATATGCATACTGATATTAGGGTGTAAAGGGTTAATTGACCTTGAGTTACCTGATAAGAGTTCAGCTCAGACAATGTCGCTGAATAGAGGGGATACTGTGGTATCGGAATCATAATACCAGCCCTGTTATTTCCAGTGTTGACACTTGTTTGAAGTAATTTTAATATAGACTACAAAAATAAACATTGATATCAATAAGCATAAATATCAAGTTCTGGTTGGGTTGTTAAAGATCAGTGACATTGCACCAGGCCTCTCAAGTAGATATCAAGTTCTGTTTGTAGTAAACTGAAAGCAAATATAGCAGTTCAGTCTCTTTAATTAAAAGTTGCTAATGGTTTGTGCACTGGACTCTGGGTCAAGAGGTCTGTGTCGCCTGTTGAGTAAATGCATTGTGATTTTGGGTTAAACAGTTTATTCTCACGGTGCCTCTCTACAGCCAGGAGTATAAATGGGTACTAGTGAATTGTCAAGGAAGCCTGTTGAAATGCCAGGGGTAACATTGCCATGGACTGGCATGCTAAGGAAACTGAGATAAGCTCTCACTGAATGGGCTACTTGGCTTGAGCCCAAACTTTTCATCTAAAATGTTGTGAAAAAAACTTAAGCTTCTCTTCTTTCACAGAAAAAAAAAATGCATGAATATTCAGTTTCTCTCCTGGGCCAAAATGGATGGAGTGACCAAAAATTAGACCTATCAAAAGTAAGAAAGTTTCCATCCCTTCTGGTTGTAATTTAGACAAGCTATTTTCAATTGGCTTACTCTTATACCCTCACTGGCACCACTTGTGAGGTAAATGTGACAAGGATCTGATGGGTAACCATCACGTTCACTGATGTATTTGACCACATTTTTCCGAATATCTTCCAGACCTTGAGAATCTGAGTATGCACCTACAAGAAATAACACAATTGTATTAATTCTATAATGAGATTCTACCATGTTATATTTCTGAATCCTAAAAGTATTACAAGCTTATCAAGCCTGTTCCACATTCTGAATAAAGAAAGCAAGAATGCAGAACAAAGGATATTGGGATCAACTCTGAAGAACTAAGTCCCAGCCACTTAACCTTTTAATGCCCAGAAGTGATTAATGCGTAACTTGTAACTTCTTTTTTAGATAGATAGATAGATAGATAGACTGTTTATTCACAAATACATCGCAGTCATTAGACTGAATTGCGTATTTCACAGAGAAATATATAAATAGGCAAATGTTAAAACTAATCAAAAACATATGTACATGATATAAAAATATAAGTATCTAATGGGATTAAAATATGTATAGTTACTAGCTAAGTATTACGCGTTGTTTGTTGCTAGGCATCTTTGGACATTGCATACACAAAGGACTGTCTAAAGCGGTCTGTGCGCGAGCGTGGTAGATTATATGTTCTCTGTTGTCGCAGGCAGTAGCTTTGTTCATTTCTTGGGGGCAGTAAGTTGTGTAGTTTATGCCCCGAGTTGTTGGCGATTGAATCAAAGAGTCGTTTACATAGTTCATTGCGTCTCTCTTTTAGCGTTGGCAGGCCTCCTTGTAATATCCATACATTACCCAGCAAACAGGTTACTAGAATACTCAAACTTATCAAGTAGAAATTATTCTCCAAATCTAACAACAAATGTTTACAACTAACTGACAAAGAAATGCATAGTGTCTAGAAAGGAGAATCAACAATCAGATCCCATTCTTCTGATCCCCCTTAGATGAGTAAGTTTGAAAAATTAAAACTAATCATTAATGGTATGCTGTCAACTAACCATCTGACAAAACTCACCCATACTGTGACCCTTTGTGGCATTCAATATGCTCCTGGCTTTTGCTTTTGCATCAGAAGGAAAGTCAGCTGTATCAATAAGTTCTGGACATACACACATGGCAATAACCTACAAACACAAGACCTCATGATTTTAAAAAGGGGTAAATAATGTCATAATTACTTAGGGTCAGTAAATTATACATCAACCATTTTGGTATTTATTTAGACTCCACAGCTGTGAAACAGTTGAGCTGGTAGCATTATTGAACCCTTCTCTATGGACACCAATCCTATACAGAGATCCCATTATTACCAGAGGTCTCTTGGCCCTTAAGTAAAACCTACAGATTGTCTCTAAATTTAAGAGCAGAATAGATTGCAATCTGGCTAAAATAAAAAATGTGAGAAAATCACCCTTATTTACCCTTGATGGAAAATCATCTGTAGCAAAATCTACCATCAAGAACCACTATAGCATCTTGAAAAACAAATAAGGCTGCACTGACCTGTCGTGGGAAAGTAAGTGGTTTCATTCCAAGGGCATGAGCATCTCCAATGTTTGCTTTTATTACCTCATTGAAAGGTTTCTGTGCACCCTGTAGATGACCAGTGAGTAAGTTCTCCTTATAATACCACAATATGATCAAGTAAACACTTAGTGAGAATAAAGAAAACCATCAACTCAGCTTAGAAATGTTGTTTGAGTTAGTGATCAATTCTGAGAGCTAGCATTAGGAGAAGTGACAAAATTGTAAGTTTTTTGTTTAGTGCAACTTATCTTTCTCACCCACTATAAAAATAAGAATGTCAAGAAATGTGAAATTGTGTTTATCATCCTTACAAGGGGGGCTAAAAAAGCGCAGGAAATGTTTCCTAATATAGCATTTCTATCTTATTTCAAAAAGGACTTCCATAGTTGAGTCCTTACTGCAAAGTAAGTGTAATGTCCATGCATATTGCAGTCAGTAGGCAAAACTTCTGTTTTACTGGCCTCTTACAAGTGTACAATGAGGTGATAATTTTTATGACTAGCCAATTAGTTCCTACCAAGGTGTTCACCAAGACCTACATTAAGGAGACAATTGAGATCCAACTAAGATAATCCTCTTTGAAGAGAGAAAATGGTTTAGAATCATCCAACATTTATCTTGTTATTTTAGAATCTGTTGAGACCCTGGTGAACATAATATGATCCTTCTTGAACCTATTACATTACAGCAGCTGTACACCCCCTGAAGGATATTTTCTAGATAAACTTATTTTGTCAGTTGTACCTCTAGAATATTAACAAATCAAAGAGGCCACTGGACTAAAGCTTAATACAACATCAGCTTCTTCCTTCCCTCACAAAGAAAAACAAAACAATTTGGAAGAAGAGTTACCCATCTTATAGGAAATCTAATATGGATCTTCAATTTTAAGATCCCAAGGGAAAAGGTCAAAAGCAGCAGGAATTAATACACCAGTATAAATTATCAAATGTAACATTATTAGGGTAAATATTTCTGTTTAACCCCATTCTAATCTAAAACAAAGCAGAAGTCCCACAGGTTATCTATTGTTTTTCCATTTTTTTCCATCATCCAAGTACTGTAAGAATGGGGTCATACAGAAATCTTGCCATTTTTGTTCTCATGGCGGGTAAAAAAATTTTGGCAAATGAATTTCCACCAATTTTGTGACCTGTTTTTGTGGTCAAGAGGCAACCTGTAACAAGGTTGAAAACTAGAAATTAAAACAATACAGTGATGATTGATTTATTCTTTCAGCTCCTCAACTGGCGATTGAAGAAAACTTGTTTGAAACTGTATCAAATCTGCATTCCAACACTATCTCATGGGAAATAAGTCAGGACACACCCCCAAACACACCACTTGTCACATGAGTTTAGTAAAATTATGACGTGCCTTTAGCACGTAGACCACGTTTATCAGAGACCAACAACTTCTCAAAAACAGATCTTATGAAAGTCTCACGCCAATCACGAAAAATAAAATCCGGTATATTCCGACAGATTTCGTGAATGCCAACTAAAATAATTCAAAGTTATTGACACCCCGTTGTTTTGTTTGACATAATAACTTTTTGGCGGGTTGATGCGTTTCCGATTCAATCAAGGCAGCCTTCCTTTCGTTCTTGCACAAGCATGTACAATAGATGGCAAGGGTATTCGTTAATCATCACATTTCACAATCTTGTAATAAGATGAATTAAAAATTACCGAAAAAACATAATACGAGTCCATACCTTCGCCAGTTCTTTCTCCAAGGCCGAGGCTCGCTCAACAATCGCCCCTCTGACTGCATACTCTATCTGTTTCACGAATGGATTCATCGTTTCTCCGGTGAGAATTCTTTCGTTGGAGCATTTTCCGTTAGCTAGAGAGAACGAATGAAGTTGTACTGATCTGATCAAAGATCGTTTGCTTAACAAACTCGGTAGGCGGTGAGAGGCCATAACCTTTCTACAACTGCACTCAAACCAAATGTAATTTCGGCTGGTGGAAATTTATGTCAATAATTAATGGATGATGCACGCATACTTGCATTAGCCATTGAGAAGATTCGGAAATGTTCGGGTGTTGTTTTACTTCAACATTTCACCACCGAAGTGTGGAAATTAAACAACTGATACAGAGGAATCACTAAAAGACTACTGAAAATCTATCTAATAACCTAAAAGCATGAACAGGTTTAGATAAACATTTCGTTTTGCATTCGGGAAAGTTCGCTCCGGCCTCGTGGCCATAAA